GAAGGAAGGAAGGAAGGAAGGAAGGAAGGAAGGAAGGAAGGAAGGAAAGAAGGAAAGAAGGAAAGCAGGAAGGCAGGAAGGCAGTCTCTGACTTCAAAACAATTATAATTGCTGTGGGGGGGATTCAAAACTGTACACTCTATCAAGCATCTAGGCTTATTCTAACACAGCCTAGATCTTGACAGAAATAAGTAAAATGCTAGATTTCCAAAGACTCTAAGACAAGCCTAAGAAATAAAACAATTTCTAACTAAATGATATATGAGAAGGGTAAAGAAATGTAAATGAGTATATAAAAATTACAGCAACATCAAAATCTGCCAAAAATCAGTCTAAGAATGCAGTCCAATTCCTTTTTCCCCTTATACAAAGCAGAGAGCTCTATCACAGTCTACTTACTGTAGTTGATCCTATATTAAGGCACTCCTTTCCTACTCTGTCATAAATGCTTGGACACTTCTCATTTCCTATATTACAATGTTTCTGTGAGAAAAAAAAAAGCTCTGGTCTCCAAGGAACCATTTCAGAAACAAATATCAGGGTAACACAAATTAGTAGCATTATGATAATAGTTAAATTAGCTGGATTACACAGAAACCTTATTTATAACCATTAATGGGTCCTTTTGCCATTAAAACATAAAGTTCTAAGTCCATTTGTCTTATTGCTGTGATGAAACACCATGTCCAAAAGCAAGCTGAGAAGGAAAAGGGTTTTGTTTTGTTTTTGTTTGTTTTGGTTTATTCTTCCATATCACTGTTTATCAACTAAGAAAATCAGGACAGGAACTCACACAAGGCAGGAACCTGGAGACAGGAGCTGATGCAGAGGCTATGGAAGGGTGCTGCTTATTGCCTTGTTTCCCCATGGCTTGCTCAGTCTTCTTTCTTACAGAACTCGGGACCACCAGTCCAGGGGCAGCACCACCCACAATGGGCTAGACCCTCCTTCACCAATCACTAGTTAAGAAAATGCCATACAGCTGAATCTTTTGGAGACATTTTCTTAATTGAGGTTCTCTCCTTTAACGTAACTCTATCTTGTGTCAAGCAGACATAAAACTAACCAGCACACCATCATCTTAAATTTTTTTAAACACAATCTAATTTCCATTATCAAAATTTTCAATAATTTTTTTAAAGCCTAAGTTTAACTAGAGTTGCTACTTTTGAAATTCTCAGGAGACCTATTTTTACAGCTTTCAGTTTCATTTATCAAAATACAACTGATTTCTTACATCACCACATGACCTAGAAACTCCACTTATATATATTTACCAGTGGGAATTTTATTTATTGTTTGTTTGTTTGTTTGGGGTTGGTTTTTTTTTTTTGAGACAGGATTTCTCTGTGAAGCCTTGGCTGTCCTAGAACTCCATCTGTAGAACAGGCTGGCCTTGAACTCAGGGATCCATCTTTGCCTCCCCAGTGCTAAGATTATCACACCAGCTTAGTAATGGGAATTTGAAACATACCTTTTAAGAAACTTTTACATGAATGTTCATAGTAGTATTAACTATAATAAACAAAAAGTTGGGAACAATTTAAATGTCCAACTGGTGAAACAGACTACTATTCATTCCATCCTTCAATATAAAGAGCTCTAAAATATCTGAAATTGAGGAAGCCAGAAACAAAAGGATAGGTACCATATGACTACATTTAAACTAAATGTCCAGAATCAGCAAACTCATAAAGACAGAAAAGCTAATGGCTACCAGAGGTAGGGTGCTCATGGATTAAGAATGGAGAATGTCTGCTTGAAGATTTTTTTTCTTGATTGGGATGGGCGCTAAATGTTCTAGAATTAGTGGTGATGGCTGTACAGCTGTTACATTAAAAAAAATTATTGAATTGTAGAATTACAAAAGAATTTTATGATGCATAAATTAAATCCAAATAAGAAAATAGGACCAAACAATCCAACTTAAAACAAACAAAAGATCTGGCCATTTCATTGACAAAAATAAACAGAAAAAAAATTCATATATTCAAATATAACCAACATCATTACAAGGGAGCTGCAAATTAAAGTCATGATGCTTTAATACTACATTCCTACTGGCTTATCTTTTTAATAGGGATATGAAGATGGCTTAGCAAGTAAAAAGTGCTTACTACACAAACTTGAAAGCCAGAGTTCCCCAGAAGCTGCATAAATGCTGGGTGGGCATCAAGGCCCACCTGTAATTGCAGCCTCCAAAGGCAGTCTAGGGGTTCCCCAAAATAAGCTTATAAAATAAAATAAAACAAATTTTTTATTTGGTATACAGTTTCTCCCATGACGGGAGAGTAAAAGAACATCTAAGAGCTCACATATTTATCCACACCCACCAGGCAGAGGCACTGGGGATCTTTCCAAACATCAAAATCAGGCTCTAGTGACACACCTCCTCCAATCCTTCCCAAACAGTAACACCAATTGGAGACCACTTACATATTCAAACACCCCTAAACACATGCATACCACATGCAAATATCTTCCCTCCCCCAAAAAAGAACTTTTTCAAAACAAGAATACCAAATGCTCGTTAGAATAATGTACAACTAAATCCTGATACAAAACTGGTCAATGTGCAAAATAACATACCCATTTCAGCAACCAGTGTCAAGGTGTAGTGGCTGAGTTTGAGGGGTGGACTCTTAGGGGATGACTACCACAGTGAAAAACTTGAGACTGATTCTTACAGAGAAAGTAATACATTTGACTCAGTTTTGGATGCTGAAAATTCAAAAGGCATAATAGCAGCAATAGTAAAGATCAAACACTCTCTCTCTCTCTCTCTCTCTCTCTCACACACACACACACACACACACACACACACACACACACACACACACAAAACCACTGTGGTGGATTAACCTCACAAAAGGAAACTGAAAGTCAGTGAGGGGCCACTGTAACAACCTCCCCTTAGGCCTACTTCTAAAAGACATCATCACCCGAATATGGACTAAGCTTCCAACACAGAGCTTTTAGGAGATACAATCAGACCATAACCAAATCATATCACGTTACTTCTCATAAAGTTACAAGTTTAATACCACTCACAAACCCATGGTTGGTATTTACTCCAATGAAATAATTTATGTTCACACTAAAACCTGATACAGCTTTTCTTTAACTGCCAAAATAGAAATACTACAAAAAACGGCCAAGCTATGTTTATAAAAAGAGTCAAGGAATGAAACACCACTCAGAAGAACAGGAATGGCAGGACAAGGTGATATATGCAGTACAGGGATGACTTCTCTGCGTTCTGTTAAGAAGTCTGGCTCAAATGGCTACACAGAAGCCAAGTGTGGTGGCACAGGCCTCAAAAAGGATCTCTGAGAGTTCCAGGCCAGTCAGGGATACACAGTAAAATCTTATCTCAAAAAGAAAGAGCTACATAGGCAAAGGATTCCATTTATGACACTCTTGAACAAGCAACATAGAGAGGAAACATCAGTAGTTGCCTCTTGAGGAGGGAAAAATTACAAAAAAATAGAAGAGGAAACGCTGTAGGCCTGTAAAACCTTTTTGTATCCAGTATTGGAATGGTGGATAGATGCTTCTTAACATTTATTAAAAAAAAAAAAAACTATGCATGAAGGTGAATTTTCTCGAAGTAAACTTTAAATACAGAAATTCGATAAGCTGTATTCTACACAAACTTGCATCTTGAATATAGAGCAACACTTCACTACAAACCAAACCACAATTCAAGTAGTTTTTCTTCTTGTTCTTTTTAATTTTTTTCTTTTATTTTTATTTTATGTGTGTGGGTGTTTTCACTTGCATGAAGGTTTGTGCACCACATGCTTGCATACAGTGCCCCCAAGAGCCAGAAGAAGATGACAGAAGCCCTGGTTCGGGAACTAAAGATGGTTGTGAGTTGTCGCATGGACACTAGGACTTGAACCCAAGACATCAGGAAAAGCAGCCAGTGCTCTCAAACACTGAGCCAACACTCCAGGCTTCTTTCGGAGGTACAGAGGCCAGTTTTGTTATTCTCACTTTGCAACTGAGAAGCAGCACAGATTAAGCAATCTGCAAGAGCTGGTCTCAAACGGCTGGCACTTAGGCATCAATGTTTGCCCACTTGATCATGATAGAAGGCAACTAACTACACGAGGGTTTGTTTGTTTAATAAAACTAAATTTCTTACAGCTAAATAAACGAGTATTTCTGGAAAGCTGGAAGTACAGGCATATCCGTGAATGCGCACACTTTTTACACAAATAATTAGCCCTAATTTTGACCTGGAACACACATTTCAAAAATGACTAGTAGCTACGTAAAATAAACACAGCATAATACAAAACAGATGGAAGCACTAAATGTAAGCCACTGGATAAGGTAAAGCGTTGCAATCAAGTGGTAGACGCAACCCTTCCGAACTAAGCAACGTTCAGCGTGTCTTCGTCAAGTTGGCCGAGATACTGAACGCCCCTTTAGATTCTGACCGCCTGTTTGCCTGCATTTTCTTTACGTTCTTCTTCTTCTTTTTTTTTTTTTTAACTCCGTCTTTTACTCAGGACCACAAACACCCACATTCCCACTTGGTCAAGCTGCGACCTGAACACAGAAGAGAATTTTCTTTTCTCTTCCCCTCGTTACCAGACTAGCCCAACTAAGCAACCCCTCAAACCCAGGAAGGCACCGCGAAGTGAGATCAGGAAAGGACCAAGGGCGTCTTCGCGGACAGCGCCTGGCCTTCACGTGCGAGGCGGCGTGCGACACGCCGTGGGCTCGGTGGAACCTTCGTTACAGCCCAGGGGGAAACTGACAGGGATGGCTCCCTCGCCCGGCAGAGGCCAGAGGTCACTGGCGCCGGACCCCACCGGCACGGGAGGCTTCAGCTCGCGCCGCCCGCCCGGGAACCGCCGCCCGGCTTTACATAACTTCAAGGGCGAGGCGAGTAGCTGCAGGTGGCGGCGCCAGGCTGGCCAAGGACCGAAGCCACGAGAAGCCGCGCCGCCATCTCCCGCGACACTGGGACCGAGACCCCCGTTACCTTTCCAAATGCCCAGAGAGAGCTGAGACTTGTCCAGGTTCACCACATAGTCGCCCAGGAACCGGTTCAACACGTCCACGACCAAGGACTCGAATACCATTTTCCTCAGCCGCGGACGGCACCGCGGCACGACCCCGCGCTGCTCCTCCCTCGAGACAGCTCGGCTTTACCGGCTCCCGGCCGCCTCCAGCCGCGGCGCCACGGCCGCCGGGTCACTCAACCCCGCCGCGAGCCCCGCAGAGGCAA